GTTGTCAGTCATACACCGATTTGCGAATGCTTTAGAGGCTATGTTGGTGATCCATTTGTTCATTGCGCCGTTCAAGAAACGCCAGTTGAACGTGAACCAGTTGTCACTCCTTGTATACCTAGCCCATGTGGCCCCAATTCCAACTGTAGAGTGCACAATAATGTTGGTTCATGTCAATGCATAGCTGACTATTATGGTAATCCATATGAAGGCTGCCGACCAGAATGTGTATTGAATAGTGATTGTCCGTCGAATAAAGCATGTATTAGAAGTAAATGCGTTGATCCTTGCCCTGGAACGTGCGGTCAAAATGCATTGTGCAATGTTGTAAATCATTTGCCAAACTGTGCCTGTCGACCTGGTTACACTGGTGATGCTTATCGCTATTGTACGGTCGTTGTCCAACATGTAGAACGTAAGTTTCACTCAATGAATTTCTCGATCGCGACAAACCATTTACTAAACGGAATTTTCCATTAGCAACTCCGGTTGTGGTGCACGATGTTTGTCGGCAAAGTCCATGCGGCCCGAACAGTCAATGCAGAGATAATAATGGTGCCGCAAGTTGCTCATGTTTACCTGAATTTATTGGCAATCCACCAGCCTGCCGACCTGAATGTACTGTGAACAGTGAATGTCCATTGAATAAGGCGTGTGTCAATCGTAAATGTGTCTCACCTTGTGTTGGTATCTGTGGTGAAAATGCCGTTTGTTCGGTCATGAATCACAGTCCATTCTGTACGTGTCAAGATGGTTACAGTGGCAACGCCTTTGTGCGATGCTATCCAATTACAATTGCAGCACGTAAGACAACAAACCTCCTTTCTAACTACTTATGAAATTTGAAGAAGAAAAGCGAAAATTAACACAATTGTTTGCAATTTAGCTCCGGCAACAGATGAAGTGGTGAATCCGTGTGTGCCGAACCCATGCGGAAACTTTGCTCAATGTAATGAAGTCGGGCGCTCTTATGTTTGTCATTGCTTACCCAATTATTATGGCTCGCCACCATTCTGTCGACCTGAATGTACCGTCAACTCCGACTGCCCCAACACCAAATCTTGTGTGAATGAACGCTGTATTGATCCATGCCCGGGATCATGTGGTTTGAACTCCGTTTGTAATGTGATTAATCATGTTCCAAATTGTGCCTGTAAACCTGGTTATGAAGGAGACGCATTCGTTAGATGCGAACCAATTGTTATAGCCGGTAAAAAAATCGTTGCTCCTTTGTCTCGGCTCTTTAAACATATCTCCTTTGACTAACTCCCTTTGATCGAAATTGAAAATGACCGAAAAAACTTGAATTTTCTAGAAGACATACCAAAAGTGAAAGATAAATGCCGGCCAAGTCCGTGTGGCGCGAATGCTGAATGCAATGAAGGTGTTTGTTCCTGTATTTCCGATTATGTTGGCAATCCATACGCTGGATGCCATCCGGAATGTGTTTTGAATACTGAATGTCCACGAAATCAAGCTTGTATTCGATACAAATGCGTTGATCCATGTCCGAATATGTGCGGTCAAGAAGCTATTTGCTCGGTTTACAATCATATTTCAATGTGTGATTGTCCACCAGGTTACACCGGAAACGCGTATATTGCCTGCGCAAAGATTGAAAGTACGAATAAAACGAGTGTTCTTATTCCTTCCTCCTTTCACCAGAAAAAAAAACAAATGCCTAAACCTATATCGAATTTTCTAGGACCGGTTATTGTACACGATGAAGATCATTGCACGCCGTCACCATGCGGCCAGAATAGTCACTGTTCGAATGTCAATAATCAAGCCATTTGTTCATGTTTACCTGGTTATTATGGTACTTCACCTGCTTGTCGCAGAGAATGTGCCATCAATTCAGATTGTGCGAATACAAAAGCTTGCGTTAATGAACGCTGTATCGATCCTTGTCCTGGCTCCTGTTCTCCATTTGCTGCCGAATGCCGTGTGATTAATCACAAAGCAGTCTGCTCTTGTTTACCACATTACACTGGTGATGCATACGTTCGTTGTACACCAATTGCCATAGGTAAACTCAATGATCCACTAATCAGTTAAATTCGTTGGAAAACATTACTGTTAAATGGCAGATTGTTTAAACGACGAATATCAAATGGAAATACAAAGAGAATATACTTTGTACTTTTGCTCAACTAACCTCTAGTCAAATCCCTTGTGAATCGGTTTTAATTTGTCTGTTTTCAAAATCTCTTACCATCTTAACCTTGGTCGACTTGAATCGAATCGAACAGCTCAACCATCACCTGTAGCAGTAGCAACACCAGTAGAGAAAGATGAACAAAATCCATGCATTGCACGACCTTGCGGTAGATATTCAACGTGCAAGAACATTAATAACGATGCACAATGTGCATGTTTGCCTGGTTACGAAGGTATTCCACCTTATTGTCGTCCACAATGCGAATCAAACTCGGATTGCCCCAATAATTTGTCGTGTGTAAATCACAAATGTATCAGTCCATGCATAAATGCCTGTGGCCAGAATGCCAAATGTTCAGTTTTGCTGCATACCGCCATGTGCACTTGTGTTGATAATATGGTAGGAGATCCATTTGTTTCCTGCCATATTCCAGTACTTTATATTGAGCGTAAGTTTTTTTTTCTCACGAATGAACCAGATTTTGAGACAGAAGAAAGCGTTTTCTTGTTCTTCTGAAGTCATTCGTTTTAGCATAGTTTATTTTTAGGAGATAGAACTCTTTTTTTACCTAATCCATTCATTTATTTATATTTATTCATTGATGAAGCAAGAGCATATCAGTCTAAATAATTGAATTAGTTCTATCGAAAAGAGAACAAACAACCAAAGAAGTTGATTTCAAATAAAAGGCATTTAGCGATAAAATTACGCGTGAAATTCCAAACATACAAAGAACAACCCTTTATTAATCTCAATTGTTCTATGTATTTTCCTATAGAAATACCAGAAGAGCCAAAAGTAAGTGATGTTTGCTTCCCCTCACCATGTGGAGCTAACGCTCGATGCCGTTCAGAAAATGGTAATGCAATTTGTGAATGTATACGTGATTATCACGGTAATGCATACGAAGGATGTCGACCAGAGTGCACAGGAAACTCAGATTGTCCAATGAGCAAGGCTTGTATCCATAACAAATGTCAAGATCCTTGTATCGGAATTTGTGGCGTTGAAGCAGTTTGTACGGTATCGAATCACATTCCAATTTGTTCGTGCCCAGTTGGAACGACTGGTGATGCCTTCAGACAATGTGTGATTTACGTCATTGAAAAGCGACCAGATGAGCAAATTGATCCATGCTACCCATCGCCATGCTCAGTGAACACCGTTTGTAGAAATCAAGCTAATACGGCTGTATGTGAATGTATCTCAGGCTATTTCGGAGATCCAAACGGAGCCGGATGTCATCCAGAATGTGTGATCAGCTCAGATTGTCCACGAACCAAATCATGTGTGAACAACAAATGTGTTGATCCATGTCCAGATGTGTGCGGTTATGGTGCAACATGTAGAACGGTTAATCATAGTCCAATTTGTTCATGCCCCGATCGTACATATGGCGATCCATTTGTTGAATGTCGACCACAGGTTCGGGACGAACCAACCAATCCATGTGTACCAAATCCATGCAATGTTAACGGTTATTGTAGAGTTGTGAATGGAGCTGCCGTTTGCACATATCCTGAATGTATAACGAACGATGATTGTTCGACAGATAGAAGCTGCTTCAATCAGAAATGTAGCGATCCATGTTTGAACGCTTGCGGAGTGAATGCCATTTGTCATGCTATTAACCATCAACCAGTTTGCTCATGTCCACCGAGGTACGTTGGTTCACCGTATGTACAATGTGTTTTGCCACGCGAACCACCAACGCAACTGAAACCAGAATGTGAAAGTGACTCAGAATGTCCAAACGATAAGGCTTGCATCAATGAGAAATGCCAGAACCCGTGTGCCCAAGGTAGAATTTGCGGTGAAAATGCTGTCTGTCACGTTCAAGCACACAGACCATTATGTGTTTGCCATGAAGGCTACACCGGAAACGCTCAGATTGCTTGTTATGAAAGTAAGTTTTGTGTGAAAATCAATTCATTTCAGATCCATTTAGGGTCAACAATTTAAAATTTGATTGAAAATTACAATAATTCTAAATGGTTCTCCTTTCCTTTCAGTTGGATGCCGTGCTGACAATGACTGCCCGACCACACATGCTTGTGTAAACCGTAATTGCGTTGAAGTTTGTGATCAAATTCAATGCGGTCGCAATGCCATCTGTCGATCAGATTACAGTCATCATGCACGATGCTATTGCTTGGATGGATATCGTGGAAACCCGTTGGTTTCTTGCGAACGACCTGAATGCACGACAAACAACGATTGCCCATTCCATTTGGCTTGTTTGAACGAACGCTGTCAAGATCCATGCAATTGTGCAAAAGGCGCTCAATGCCGCGTTGATAATCATGTTGCCACCTGTAAATGTTTGCCAGGATATGTTGGTGATGCTTACACCAGATGTACTCTAGTCGAAGTTCAGCACACGCCACAATGTACGGTCGATGCAGACTGTCCATCGAAATTGGCTTGCTTCAGTAATGTCTGTAAGAATCCATGCACCGAAACGAGACCGTGTGGACCTCATGCCGTTTGCTCGGTTGTTGATTCGTTGCCATTGAGAACAATGGTTTGCACATGTGAGCCTGGTTTCGTTGGTAACGCAGACCATGGATGCAATCCAGGTAATTATGAGCATTTTTTTTTTCAAAAGAACAAAACATTTTCATCAAATCATAACCAAAATCATTTTTCAAAGTACTTTACAGGAGATCTTCTTTTTTTGTTAATCATTTATACCTTTTCTTGTAAATATCCAAATGTATATTATAAATTGCAATATTGAACTGTACATACAATCGCTTTAGTCGTGCAAATGCAATCACTGCACAAAAAAAGCCATCCATAGAAAGAATTTTTTCGCGTTTAGTAGTGAATCGATTTTTAGCTCAAAATTTGTTTTGTAGTTTATTATCTCAAATTCGAAACCAAATACTAATTTTTCTTTGTGATATTTGATCATGTAGAACCACTCAAAGATGCTGGTTGTGTGTCGAATGACGACTGTGGCCCATCCGAAAACTGTCAGAACCGAATTTGTGAGAATCCATGCAAAAATGGCAATCCATGTGACAAGAGTGCCGAATGTCTTGTTGAAAATCATCGTGCGGTTTGCACTTGTCCACCAGGATTTACTGGCGATCCGTTTGTCAGTTGCTTCCAAGATCGTGTTGAACCAAGACCACAATGTACTACCGACAGCGATTGCCCGTCATCAAAGGCGTGCATCAATCAAGCTTGTAGAGATCCATGTATTGAACGTAATCCGTGCAGTCAAAATGCTGAATGCCGTACAATTCAACATCATCCAACCTGTCACTGTCCTACGGGATGGGCAGGCGATCCACAACGACAATGCTACAAACGTAAGTGTTTCTTTCGCCTTTTTCAACGTGAAATTTGACTTGATTTAATTCAAACTATTTTTCGCTATTTCAAATTTCAGCGGAATGTAAGATCAATTCGGATTGTCCATATGACAAGGCATGTTACAATGAGAAATGTTTCAACCCATGCACATACGGTGGAACTCAATGCGGACGCGGTGCTGAATGCTTGGCACAAAACCATCAAGCCAATTGCATTTGCCCGGCTGGAACTCAAGGAAACCCATTGATCTCGTGTGTACGAGGCATTTGCCAATATAACGAAGACTGTTTGGATGACGAAGCTTGTGATCGATTGAATCGTGTATGCCGTAAAGTCTGTGATATTGACTCGTGTACTGAGAATGCTCGTTGCGAAGGAAGAAACCATCAACCAGTGTGCACTTGTTTGCCAGGCTTACTTGGAAATCCATATGTTCAATGCTCACGCAAACCGGATACACCACAATGTACTACTGATTCAAATTGTCCACCATCATTCACTTGTGTGAATCAACGTTGCGAGAATCCATGCGCTAGATCAGATGTTTGCGATACGCAACAAACTTGCACCGTTTTGGATACATCACCAATTCGATCAGTTATGTGCAGATGTCCACCGGATACAGTCACCGATGCTCGAGGCCATTGCAAACCGATCAATTACGATGCGATTGGTTGTCGCTCAGACGATGAATGCTCAGATCCAGATAAATGCATAAATGGCGCTTGTGTTATTGCTTGCAGCGTTGATAGATGCGGTATTAATGCTCAGTGTGAATCGAAATTACATCGTGGACTCTGTTCTTGTCCACCGGGGTACACTGGAAATCCACATATTGAATGCTCGCCGAGTAAGTAACTGCGAAAAGAATAATTTATTTTTAATGCAGCAAGCATAATTGAAAATGCTCAAATTCGTCTGAATTCATTGGAACCAAACGATTTTATTTTATTTTATCATTTGCAGTACCAAAACAACCAAATGTCATAACGCCAGCCGATTGTTACACCGACGACGATTGTCCATTCGATCGTACATGCCGAAATGAACGGTGCGTGAATCCGTGCTATCCAAGTCCATGTGGACGTGGCGCTTTCTGTTTCGCAGAAAATCATCAACCAATTTGCAAGTGCCCAAGTGGATTCACCGGATCGCCATTGATCGCTTGTATTCCATGTAAGTTGTTTTTGTTTATTCTACCCTTTTCTCCTCTGATTTTTTGAGTATTTACCTTGATTTTATGTTTTTCAATAAAAAAAAACCATCAACATGTGTTCTCTATTGTAGCGCCTGAATTAACGGTCGGTTGTAAATCGAACTCAGGGTGTACGCTATCGGAATCATGTGTGAACGAACTGTGTACAAGCCCATGCAACTGTGGCGTTGATGCTGAATGTCACGTACAAAACCATCATCCAATTTGTGTATGCAAACCGGGCTACTCAGGAAATCCACAATTCGGTTGCTTCAAATTGGAATGTCAATCGAATGATGATTGTTCGAATGACAAAACGTGCTACAATAATGAATGTATCAACCCATGCGTATTAGGAGATCCATGTGCTGTGAATGCTGAATGCTTCGGATTGAATCATCAAACGGCATGCCGATGCTTATCTGGTTACAAGGGTAGTCCATTCGAACGATGCGAACGAATCGAATGTAGTTCCGACTTTGAATGCCCTGGAGATCGGGCTTGCTTGAATCATCATTGCGTGAATCCATGTGAACAGGATTCACCATGTGCACCGAATGCCATTTGCTTCGTTCGAAATCATGCCGCAACATGCAAGTGCCCAGAGGATATGCCAAACGGAAATCCACTTTCGTATTGTGAACGAATTCAATTGGATATTGGACCCGAATGTAAATATGATGACGATTGTCCAAGTAGATTGGCTTGTATTCGAGAGAAATGCGTTGAACCGTGCAAAGAATTGACACCATGCGCTCCGTCGGCCCGGTGCAGTGTTTTGGATAGTTCACCAGTTCGAACAATGGTTTGTGAATGTCCAGAATTATTCGTACCGGATGAAAACGGTGAATGTCGTCGCATTATCATTCAAACACCACCAGGCTGCAAACAAGATTCCGATTGCCCAACGGATGAATCGTGTATCAATCGACAGTGCCGAAGCCCATGTGATTGCGGACCACACGCTACTTGTTTGGTTAAAGATCATCGCGCAACATGCAGCTGTCTGCCAGGATACGAAGGTAAGAGAAAAAAGAGGAGCTTTTACTTACAATCGTTTTTCATTTTGCATCCTTTGCTTAATGGAAAGGATAATCAATACAAATCCGATACCACCACGTATGTTTACTAACCTCTCCTTTTTTCACCCTTGAAACGAAGGAAATCCGAATATCATGTGCCGAACAGTTGGTTGCCGAAGTAATTCCGAGTGCGATTCAGGACGTGCTTGTATCAATGGAAACTGTGTCAATCCTTGCGTCATTGATAACCCATGCGGATTGAATGCTGAATGCTATGTTACCGGAAACCGAGCCGAATGCAGATGTTTCAGTGGCTACCGTGGAAATCCATTCGAAGTGTGCCGAGTTATTGGCTGTCGCAGTAACAGCGATTGTCCAAGTGACAAAGCTTGCGAGAATGCGGTTTGTGTTAATCCATGTGTTTATGATCACGCTTGTGCGCCACATGCCGAATGTTCACCACAGAATCACATGCCAGTTTGCAAGTGTCAAGAAGGTTTTACTGGTAATCCATATGTTGATTGTAGACGAGAACCACAAGTTGAATGTACAGTTGATGGCGATTGCTCATCGCGATTGGCGTGTATTAATCATGAATGCGTAAATCCATGCACAACACTCGAACCATGCGTTCAACCATCAAAATGTGAAGTCGTTCCATCGCTACCAGTCAGAACAATGATTTGCATTTGCCCCGAAGGTTATGTAAGCAGTGGAAATGGAACGTGCAAACCATTGGAAGCTATCGTTCGAGTTGGAGGTTGTGTTTCAGACTCGGAGTGTCCATCAGATAAGGCTTGTATTAATGACATCTGTAGAGATCCATGCGCCTGTGCACCGAACGCCATTTGTCGGGTGAAAGATCACAAACCGATTTGCTCATGCGAACAAGGTTACGATGGCCAACCAGAGATTCAATGTACACACATTGGATGTCGATCAGACGATGAATGTTCAACAACTCATTCGTGCATTAATCGACAATGCGTTCCGGTTTGCGCCGCCGATGGCAGCACATGTGGAGAACGGGCTGAGTGTTATGGCATCAATCACAATGCCGTTTGCGAATGTAGACCTGGCTTTACGGGTAATCCAAAGATTGGATGCAATGTCATTGGTTGCAAAAGTGACAGCGAGTGCCCAACCGACAAAGCTTGCATTAACACCAAATGTGAAAGCCCATGCGAACAAGTGCAGATCTGCGAACGAAACGAAATTTGCCGAGCTTATAATCACAAACCACAATGCAGTTGCCCACCGGGTACCATTTCAGAAGCGGACGGATCATGCAGAGCGTATGAACCATTGTGTAGAGATGACAGCGAATGTCCATCACAACATGCTTGTATCAACAGTCAATGCATTAATCCATGTAATGTCACACAGCCATGTGGAGGTAAGTTTTTGGATTGCATTTTGTATACTAGTAATCTTTTTTCGATTCAAGCTGTTCGTTTTTTAATGAAAATCAAACGTTGAGTTTTTTGACATTAACAATTTGACAATTAAATCCCGAACCTTCTACTTTATTTACAGTTAATGCCGAATGTAAAATACTCGATACAATACCAATTCGAACATTGGTTTGCGTATGTGTTGAAGGCTATCAAGGAAATGCAGCTGTTCAATGTGATCGAAGTGAGTATTTTCTGTCGACTTAAAGCTTTAGCTTGTAAAGATGAGCTTTTTTCTTTCTGGTCGTTTTTCATTCAATTTGACTGAACAACGAACATTTTAAACAATTGAAACCTAAAATGCTTCTTTTCCCTCCCTTTTAGTTGCGGTTTGTCGCGTTGACAAAGGATTTGTGCCGGATATAAATGGAAATTGCGTGTGCCCGCCAGGTTCTGGTGTGAATATCTATGGTGATTGTGTACCATGCCGCGTTGAAGATGGTTATAAGGTCGATGAAACGGGACGCTGTGTATGTGCCCTTGAAAGAGGATTCATAATTGATGAGCGTGGACGATGTGTATGCCCAACCGATCATGGCTACAAAATAACACCGCTCGGTGAATGCGTTCTGATTCCAAGAACACCAGGCTGTGTCAGTGATGACGAATGTGCCGACTTCGAACATTGTAATACCGAACAGAGAATTTGTACTGATGTATGCGCCGATAGACCAACGAAATGTGGCTTCAATGCATTCTGTAACGGTACCAACCATCAGGCCATTTGTCAATGTATCACCGATTACGAAGGAAACGCTGAGATTCAATGCTGTAAGTCTTTTTTTTACTAACTATTGAATTGCAATACGATCGCTTTCGAAGTGAAATACGAATTTTTGAATTTAATTTAAAAATATTTTCAATTCTTCGCAGACAAAATCAATCGCACGAGAGACGAAAAATTCCCAGTCGAAATGAATGTGAACTGTTTGGCTGATGGTGTAAAGACAGACATTCATCTGAGTGAACAAGGTTTCAATGGCGTGATTTATGTGAAGGGATACAGCAAAGATGAGGAATGTAGACGCGTGATTAATGTACCAAATGATGCAGCACCACGACCATACGAAACATTCAAGGTGCACTTTGGAAGCTGTGGCTTGATACATGTCAATGGTGTTGCAAGCTTTGTATTGGTCATACAGAAACATCCGAAATTAGTGACATACAAAGCACAAGCATATCACGTTAGATGCGTCTATCAAACGGGCGAACAGAATGTGACATTAGGATTCAATGTGCAAATGTTGACGACAGCCGGTACAATTGCAAATACAGGACCACCGCCAATTTGCTTGATGCGAATTGTCACCCAGAACGGTCAAGAGATCAACTCAGCCGAGATCGGTGACAATTTGATGCTGCAAGTTGATGTACAACCACAAAGTAAGTTAATGATCCATATTTAAAAAAAAAAATTCAGGAGTTTGGTTTTAAAAAGATAATTTCTAACAAAACAAATCCGTTTAATTCACAGCAATTTACGGTGGTTTCGCCCGAAGCTGTATCGCCAAAACGATGGAGGACAATATTGAAAATGAATATGTGGTCACAGATGAAAATGGTTGCGCAACTGATCCAAGTATATTTGGTGAATGGGAATATAGCGAGGAGACGAATAGTTTGTTGGCCAGTTTCAATGCATTCAAATTCCCGTCAAGCAATAACATTCGATTCCAATGTAATATTCGTGTGTGCTTCGGCCGTTGTCAACCGGTCAACTGTCGCGGTGCGAATGCATTTGGAAAACGTCGACGTCGTCGTGAGATCAGTGACTCAAACAGTTCAATCAGTGTTTCGTTACCAAAAGAACTAGACGGTATGGATGGAACGTTGCGTGAAGAAATTACCATTTCGTCAAACGCCATTCTCACGTTTGAAAAGAGAGACGAACGATTCAGCTCTGATGGCAGTGAAAGTAAGTTTACGTTATATTTTTCACCTTTGGACTCTCCCTTTCAATTTCATTTGATCAATTTATTCATTTGTTTTCGATGTTTTTGAAAATTTTCATCAATTAAATATTTCACTGAAATCCATCCATTTCTTTACCATTTTCAGTACATCCGGCTGCACAAAGAGTGGAAGACATTTGTGTATCGATGATTGGTTTGATCATAGCCTTAGTAATAACAGCATTATTGGCATTGGTAGCCGTTGCAGTGGCCGTATCGTGTTGGCTAATGGCGTATAGAAGACGACCAAAGGCAACCGGACCGCTTCCGCATCCGCCCGAATTCCCCAACCCACTATTTACCAATCCAGATGCCGTATCTGAACCAACACCTGACTATCTCTCATAGGAATAGATAGATAAACAAAACAACCTCCCAATAATGACAACCCACAACAACAAAATATATAACCTAAACAAACAAAAAACATGAAAACAAAACCGGAACAAAAACTGTGACCGAAAGAGAAAAAAAATCGAATGAAAACAAAGAAAAAACATGTATAAATTATTTAAATAGTTTGTTTATAGTAGCTATATAACATTCGAAGGATAAAATTACAAATTGAAGATAGAAAAATTGCTGAAAGCATTTAATGATAGAGAAAAAGAATCCAGTGACAACAATAAGGAGAAAAAGAGACGTCGAACGAAAACAACGATAAGTGAAAAACGAATTTTTTGTATTTGAACGACAGACAAAACAAGCGATTGCTTATGTCGCCATCGCAATGAATAAAAAGTTATTAGAAGAGAAAAACAACGAACGATGATGATAAAAATAAAACTGCCAAAGCAACAAAACGCAATTTTTATTAAGTGAACATAAAGTAACAATTTTTTACGGAATATATATTAAAATGCATCAGCGCTTAATTTTAATATATTATTACTTAAATTTATTAGAAAACAAACTAATTTAACAAAAATGCATAGAAACAAGAAAAAAGTATAAAGCTCCAATGGCCGAATTAACTAGTCTTTTAAATAAAAACGTGAGGAAAAAAAAACGAAAGAAAAAAAAATATCGATGTAAAATATAGACAGAAAGGAAGGAAAAAAGAACACATAGATTTTGTATATTTATGCAGAGTGAATAATATATAAAGATAAGTGGAAATAAAAGAGCTTAACAATGACTAATATAAAAGTGAATAACACATGCTTCCGCGCTTCGAACTCCACTACTGTTTTACGAGTGAATCGATGAATGATCGAGTTCGAGACCAGACTTAACAAAAACAAAAACACAACTCAATCACAACTCACCTCGTTATTATAAAAGAAAAGTTAACATATTTACGAATGAAGCGGTTTGACTTCAGGTTTGAATGATTTGTATTATAATGAAATGTATTTTCTATAAAACGGTCATTGGAACAAAGCATATATTTAAAACAATACTGATAATTATACGATTAGATTACGTCGAATGAAAATGTAGTCAAAAACGGATCAATAAATAAATTAAATAAAGAAATATAAAAAATGCAAAATGTTAAACCAATAGTAGTTTTTATTTAGTCTTCAAAGTAAAGAGGTAGTTAAAAAAAGGCAGAATGATGCAAATTGACAAGGGTAACGTTAACTTAAAAAATTGATTTTTTTCCTGTTTACGAGTCAAATCATCAACTTTGGGGGACTCTTTGATGTATGAGCTTTCCGCTGCCATACACAACAACTTCAGCATCACGCAGCCAAAATGGTCGGTGTTGAAATTTGAAAATGCGTAGTAAACTCCTCCACCTTGGTTCAAATTAACGCTGTGAAGCGCAATGTTATTATATTCAACAGATCCAAAACCTTTCAGAGTTCTGTTTGTCCCTATCGGAAGTTCAATAACATGAATCATGAATGATGTTTGAAATGCCATTTTTGACAAATACCATTTCTAATATTTGGGTAAACCTTGTGACGAAATCATTTAATCAAATTTCCAAACTCTACCGTATAGATGCCGCTAGAGCATCATTTGCTGAATATCTTCCATTTACGATTCATGTTGTTGGTTCAAATTGTGTGTGCTTCGTGGATGTGGGCAAACAGTCTGCATTTTGATGATAAATGTCTCGATTGCTTTGTAAATAGACATCATATTGAGTGGCAGTTGTACATAAATTACATAGAGAACATTAACATTCATTCGCATTTGAATTAAATAACAATCGAACACTGGAATAAAAATCCTATGATGATCATTCCACCACAAAATGAAGAGTCTCACCCAGGATACAACACGTATTTCCAGAGCACAAGAACGATTGCGAAATGTTTCTGATTTTTATCAATCTTTTGTGTGGTTGTATGGGTGTGTGAAATGTCGGAATTTCAACGACTCACAACATATAGAATAA